GCCTGCCTTACTCTTACCGTTTTTTCTCTAATAGTAGTTCTAACTGTTAGAGAAAATACGGTATTTGAAAACAAATCAAGACTTTAACAATCTTCAATTCGATTTTAGTGGACAAGTTGTGAATGCGTTGGCGGGAAAGATGTGAAGAGTGGGATAGCCCATCCTTATTGCCATGATTCGCTTTTCTATATTTTTATAATGCTCTTTGGACTCTTTGCCGGCAATTTCTTCTTTATGGTTACAGTGATGATTGTTTTAAGGTAAACAGATAAAAAGAGAGATACGGCATTGAAATGCTTGGTGTAATTAGTGATAATTTAAGAAAGAGCTCTTGGCTAGACTCAGCATTTTACTCTACTTAACTATTTTCTTGTTTGAAGTAATCTTTTCTCTCTCAACTGTATTTTGAATCTGTAAAACAATCGCAACTTTATAACGAATTGTCGACGAGTTGGACGTTGAGCTAATTAGACAACTTTTACAATTACTATACAAGCAAGAGGAAATAGAAAAAGAAATTTTACAACAATTAACTTGCAATTATTCAAAAGAAGACTAGAAAGCAACAAATTTGATAGCTTAAATGAGGAAAAAGTCTAAGCAAAGATGATTGAGGGATTTAAAATGACGTAATTTGAATACAATAGCCATTCGCCACAGGTAAACGAAAGAGAAACTGGTTCAAATCCAGTGCTAACCATTCTTCTTCAACTCCTAAATTCTCTACCATTTTCAGATCCGTTTACGATGATCAAAAAGTGTTCGCATTCTCATTTGCCTCATTTGTGACGAACCTTCTCGGTGTCATCCCGGCTCCAATCTTTCTTGGGTGGATATTTGATAGAGCTTGCATTTTGTGGGGAAGTCGATGTCCGAATGGTGAGAGTTTAAAAAAGAAATATACTTCAATTATCAGTCTAAGAATTGGTTGAGCTAGTACAGATCAAGTAAATGCTACCGTACTATCATACTAACCAGCTCCGGCTTACAGATCCAGTCTAGGTACAGTACAGAGCTAGCTATAGATTTATTGGGTTTAGAACCACAGCTCTGGAATACCGTAGTCCAGAACTATCGTAGTCCAAAACTATCGTAGTCCAGAACTATCGTAGTCAAGAACTACCGTAGTCCAGAACTCCCGTAGTCCAGACCTATCGTAGTCCAGAACTATCGTAGTCCGGAACTACCGTAGTCGAGAACTATCGTAGTCCAGAACTACCGTAGTCCAGAACTATCATAGTCCAGAACTAGGGTAATAATTAATACAGTACACGATACCGTAACCCAAAACCGTAATTCCAGACGGCGGCAATTGTGTACTCTACGATAACAATGATCTCCGACAGTCCATCTATCGTGTGCCGGATTGCAAGTAGGAAAGCAATTGTTAAAGGGGCTCCAAATTAAGACCGATTCTCACTAAAACCAAACTATTGGCAGCTAGATGTCGTAACAAGAGTTTTGCTCGAGTTTTCAGCTAAGAAACTTTTTGTAGAAACGATTCATTTGTTATTTCAAAGCTGCAAATCTTCTCTCGAAGTTTCCAAGTTTCTCTAAGAATTTCGACCAATTAAATCCGAGTTTCAATTCGTAGACTCAATAAAATGAGTAGCTCGAGTCGATTCACCGACCCCGAAAACCCTCGAGTACAAATTTACATGCTAAATACCTACTTTTTGTACAATCTACAAAGCCAAAGAAAAATTCGAATGTAATTGATTAGCAAGGTGTTCTTTGTGCTGCCGGGTAATCGCTCGCCATTTGGCAAACGGTTTTGGTATAGTTTGCTTCCGTAAAGGAGAAAGAGCGGTGAGCGGCTGAGCCAATTTCCTCTTTTTGGTTTTAGTGAGAATGGGCCCGGATTGCTGGTCTAAATCGCGGAAAAAGTGAAATTGGATTGCAAACAGGAACTTGTTAAATATGCCTTGTTAAATATTCGATTTCTAGGCAATCGGCATCCTGGCAGTCTTCATCTGTTATTTCTTTTCTCGTAGTCGAAGATTCCCCGAAGAAGAGAATAAGAATTTTGTTTTTGAGATGGCTGCGCAATGATTTAATATCCCGACGTACAAACATTAAGCATCTAATGCACTAATTTTACAAATACTTTCTATATATTTTCCATTTAACTTGTCATTTCTGCATAAATCACCTCGATAACCTCATTTTTTATATTTGTAACTTTCGTGTCTGGCTACAGAAGAATCTGTAAAACTATATAAAGCTTTTCGTTGTTAACAAGAGTTCAGTTTTGTTTTTAACATTGATATAACAAAACATAACAAAGATAGAAAGCATTTTGATAGTTGGAGTCTAAGAGTGACCGGTTGTGGGCATTTTACTCCAAGCTTTGTTTAGGAATAAATCTACCACACACGATCTTTTGCCCAGGTAACCTAGATCGAGTAGGGAACAATCTAACCCATTGCTCATGCCACTTGGCAACCACCACTGCTGGTGCCAAGCTCGGCGCAGTCCGAACGCATTTGTCTCTAGCCCACACGATCCGCGTTCGACTCCCGCTCGTGTCTACACTTTTGGTTTTTTAAAAATTTCAAAAGATAGAACTAGATGAAATTCTAAGCCAAATTAAATATAAGTTATTTGAAACGGCCCACATTTGTCTCCGGGTTCGGTTCCCGCTCGCGTCCGCCTTTTTAGTTTTAATTTTATAAATTGTGTCTGACAACGAATTTCTAGCTAAATCTAGCTATTAGGTTGGTAAAAAAGAAATAAGCGTCGTGTTTGTTGATTTGTATTTTATTGACAGTAAAAGATTTTTTAAAAATAGTTTATTCTATTGGAAAGAGCGTGTTTTTGCGCATCGTTTGATATATAATTTGTCTATGTTTGCTTTGGTTTTTTTTACAAGAAAGAGTGTTTAGAAAATTTGGGACCAAAAATTTCGCCTGCGGGCCTGCTTGTGGTATGAATTTAAGCAAGGCAAATCGGCTGCTGAAGCTCATCGCGCTCTATCTCAAGTGTTTGACGAAGATACTCTTTCCGAAAGTCAGTGTAAACGATGGTTCCAGCGCTTCCGAGACGGCGACGAAAGCTTGGAAGACCAAAAACACGGGAGTCGACCTCAAATCATCGACAACGACGCATTGAAGGAAGCCAGTCGGATCCACGCCAAACCACCCGCGACCTGGCAGAACAGTTCGGCTGCACTCATGTCACCATTGACAACCATCTGCATGGCATGGGCAAGACGAATAGATGCGGAAAAATGGGTACCCCATAAGCTATCCGACGCGAACAGGGCGACACGCATCGCAATCGCCGGAATTCTCACTCACCGCGCCAAGAACAGTGGGTTTTTCGACTCCATTGTTACGTCGGATGAGAAGTGGATCCAATACGACAACACAGCAAGAAAGCGGCAGTGGTTGGACCCCGGTGAAGCTCCAAAACCGACTCCAAAACCGGACATCCACGGAAAAAAGGTGATGCTTTGTGTTTGGTGGAACAGTAAAGGCCTGGTGTACTTTGAGGTTCTGGATTCGGGTCAAACAGTTACGGCGAACCTCTACCAAGGCTAATTGGACCGCGTGGACCAGGCGCTGCGACGTCAAGGTGTGGATACGGCGTCGACAAAATTCCTCCACGACAACGCTCGGCCGCATGTCGCAAAAATCATCCAGCAGAAAATTGAAGAAATGGGCTGGGAAGTCCTGCCTCATCCGCCATACAGCCCAGACTTGGCGCCTTCCGACTACCATCTGTTCCGATCAATGCACCACTCCTTGGCCGAGAAAAAGTCCAAGAATCGCGACGAGGTCGAATTTGGGTGTCCAACTTCTTCGAGTCGCAGCCAGTCGAGTTCTTCAAGAAGGGCATCCATTCTCTGCGTGAACGTTGGCGACAAGTCATTGATGCAGATGGCGAATACCTTTTGGATTAATGTATTGTTATCTTGTTTTTATAATAAAATAAACTTTTAACGAAAACGCGCATTTCTTTTTTACCAACCTAATAGATAGAAAGAAAGAAAGAAAGAAAGAAAACTATAAAGAACACCCTTTTTCTCAGGCTTCTCTTCAGCTTTCCCATTCTTTTTTGATGATTCAATGTGGAAAATAGCCAGGCAACGCCGAAAAACAATCTCTCTGCGAAAAGAGGCAAAAAGGCATGTGATTCCACCAATTTTTTTTGTTTTACTTAATAAAATCATTGTTTATTACGGTTTTTTACCGTTTATTACAAGAATTTGTCAATTTTTCTTACACAAAATGTCTTTTCTGGATATCTTTTTCATTTCTTTTCAAAAAAAACGATTAAAGAAGTTTCCAAAAAAACTTTCCCAAAGAAAATCATGGATTTTCTTTGTGAAAACCCAAGAATTAATTGATTGTTTACAAAAATAAATCCTTTTTTTATTCTTATCCTAAAAATCCTTCTTGTTTTCTCATCATTACACCAATTAGAACTCATTTCATTAAAAATGGCACTCACAAAACAAAACACAAAGCTTTCATCATTCAATTCTCTTTCAATTCTCTTTCAATTCTCTTTCAATTCTCTTTCAAATCGTCTTCCAATTTCTTATTCCATTTATTCAAAACCATTCTTGTTCAACCAGGAATTATTATAAAATTTTTAATGATTCATTTTTGAAAATCGAAAGTCTCAAAAGAGTTCTTATCAGTTTAAAAAAAAAATGAGAATTCCTTTTTGTCGATATTTTTGAAACGAATTTTTTTCAAAATATTAAAATATTTTCAGATTTTAACTATTGCCATTTCATTTCTAATTAATCACTTTAAAATTACGGTCTTTTTATAACCGAACTCTATATAGCGGAAAGCTCTATATAACAGAATGAAATTTTGGTCCTGGCCCATGCTAATCTATACAGGGTGGCTGACAATCGCGTGCGCGCAGCATCAGCATCATAGTTTTAAACAATGTATAAAGCATTACTACTCATCTTTTTGTGTTTTAATATTCTTTTTATCGTGGTCTAATAATTTTTTGTTAAAAAAGTTGTTTTCTAGGTCATGACAAAGACGTGCGCTAGTCGGGACGCAATCGCACAGCTGGCGACGAGCGGCATGAAGAACTCGTCGATCGCATCGAGGCTTGGGGTGGCTCTGAGGACCGTCCAGAAGATCGTAAAGCAATGGAAAGATGAGGGGCATGTTCAGTCCAAGTCCGGAAGAGGACCAAAGAGGACCGTTAACACCCGAAAGATGCGTGGGATCATCAAGAGGAGGATCGAGCGAAAAGACGATCGTAGTTTGAACAAGATGGCAAAACGGCTTCAAATTTCGCGTTTCTCGGTTCAATCGATAGTGAAAAATGAGCTCGGACTGGGCGCCGGCCCACGGAGCCAAAACAACAATTCGCTTTCTCGAAACCAAAATTGGCTCTTTTTTTGACGAAGGATCAATGGCCTGCAAACAGCCCGGATCTCAATCCGTTGGACTTTTCGGTTTGGGGTTTTATGGAAGAACAATTGAGAAATAGAAAAATCATCAATTTGAATGATTTACGTCGAGAATTGATCAAAATCTGGAACGACTTAGATGCAAATTATCTCCGCCGCATCGTCGATTCTGTAAAGAAGCGAATTGAAGCCTGTATCAAAGCGGATGGAGGCCACTTCGAAAATTTCTTGTGATTATTAAATGCTTTTGTTACAACTATTATATAAATAAAGATTTTTACATTTTCTTTGAAAGAAAATTAAATTATGGCGTTTTCTTTGGCGCACGTAATTATCAGCCACCCTGTATAATGGAATAATAGCTATATAATGGAATTTGGCTCCTTCAATTCCGTTATAGAGAAAGGCGACTGTACTCCATGTTTCTCCTAATTTCTTTAGTCATAATTGCGAAATTTTCTTGGTAAATAACTGGAAACTAAGAAGATTTGTGTGAAAATTCATGATAATCAGTCAAAATTTTTCCACTCATTCTCATTTTCATATTAGGTTGGAACTTGAAAAACTATTTCTTGTATTTCTTTATTTTATTCTTTATTTTTCTTGATTTCATTCACTTTTTTATTGATTACTTCAGAATTTTAGTAATATAATCTTCAAAAATTCAGCGTTTAGGATGGCTGACGGACCATCCGGCGCCAAAAAATGCCGTGATGATGATGTGCTCTTCAGGGTGAATTAGGAAAAGATTATTAAAGAATTAACCGTCAATATTTTGACAAAAAAGCCGCTATAGCAGCGTCGCGTAGTCGTAAGTTTACATTAAGAATCGCCTAGACAAAATCGGCGTTTTTTTTTATCATTTTTCAATCATGTTTTTCTAAGCATTGGTTAAAGTTAAAAACATGTTTTATCTCTTAAAAAAACGCCTATTTTCTCTACTTTAATTTAAAATAACAAGAAATCAATATTATTTGAAGATAATCTCTAAAAAAACTAGCTAAAAATAAGCTAGCTGATTTCAAGATATGAGTGATTCTTTAAGAGTAAGTTTAGACTACACGACGCTCCTATAGAACGTTCTTTTAGAGTTTTTGGACTTAAAATTTAATAGTTTATATAATAAATACTCGAAATTGACAAAAATATGATAACGCTGGCCCTTAGGGCCATAAGCTATGGTTGACAGTCCAGACTAGGGCCATAAGCTATGGTTGACAGTCCTGACCAGGGCCATAAGCTATGGTTGACAGTCCTGACCAGGGCCATAAGCTATGGTTGACAGTCCAGGCCAGGGCCATAAGCTATGGTTGACAGTCCTGACCAGGGCCATAAGCTATGGCTGACAGTCCAGGCCAGGGCCATAAGCTATGGTTGACAGTCCAGACCAGGGCCATAAGCAAGGCCTGCCGCCAAGTCAGCTCAAAAACAAGAAAAGCTATTATGTAATAGAAAATAATAGCTTGTTTTAGGTAAAATCAAAAGAAGATCGAGAGTACACACTCTCGAAGAAAGCGGCGCAACTTTCCGGAACGATTCATCACTATTCTGAGGTTCAATTAGAGTTTAAAAGCAATTTACAAATGAATTTAAAACAGTCAATCACAATTCAAAAGAAAAACTGTTATAATCAGCGAAATTTTAGCTAACTTTAGCTAATTTTAGCTAATTTTAGCTAATTTTAGCTGATTTTGGTCGTCTTTTGATCCAAAATGATAAAAAAATTGAGTAAATCGGTTTTTAGACTGATTTAATGACTTGATTATGGGATTTTGATGAGATTTTGATGGGATTTTGATGGTATTTTCTATAAAATAAGATACCTTTTAGGTAAATGTATTAGTTAAAAACAAAATTAAAAACATTCATCGCAAATTTCAGAACTATGGCCTTGACAATGATGAGGCGATCATGAAAATGGAGCCAATGTCATTACTGGAAGTGAGCAGCGAATCATTGCATCATGTACGTTATGTTATGAAGTTATCAATAGTTATGAAAGAGTCTAATCTAAAAATCTAAGTAATTGTGGCGAATTGCCACTGCTCGAATTGCCAGTTAGTCAAAATTCAATAAACAAGTTAAAATTCAATGGATAAACTACCGTAATCAGCGACTAGACGATATTCAGTTGTGTGGTAGCTTGTGTACTTAAAAATCCATTATTTAAGCTTTGTCTTGAGTTAGTTGTGTGCTCCCTTTTCTATTCATCCCTTTTTTCACACGCAAGTGTTGAAGTAATTGTGATAGTGCCAGGTTGGTGACAGTTTGAGCGAAGTTTGCCCTAATAAGGGACAGTTTTGATAAAGATTTGGTTCCTTTTCGGTATAGTTTTGTTCCTTTTCGGTAAAGCTTTGGTTCCGGTTCGCTACAGATTTGGTTCCTTTTCTTTATAGATTTGTTCCTTTTCGGTATAGGTTTGTTCCTTTTCGGTTTAGATTTGTTCCTTTTCTCTACAGATTTGGTTCCTTTTTGGTATAGATTTGTTCCTTTTCTCTACAGATTTGGTTCCTTTTCGGTAAAGCTTTGGTTCCGGTTCGCTACAGATTTGGTTCCTTTTCTTTATAGACTTGGTCCTTTTCGGTATAGATTTGTTCCTTTTCTCTACAGACTTGGTTCCTTTTCGGTAAAGCTTTGGTTCCGGTTCGCTACAGATTTGGTTCCTTTTTGGTATAGATTTGTTCCTTTTCTCTACAGATTTCGTTCCTTTTCGGTATAGATTTGTTCCTTTTCTCTACACGTTTGGTTCCTTTTCTCTACAAATTTGGTTCCTTTTCTCTACAGATGTCGTTCCTTTTCTCTATTCTGCGTTTTCAAGACATCTACCATTGAACCACACTGAGACACGGTCTCACAAGAAATTGTAAAGATCAAAGTATAAATATATTTCTTACACAAAGTTAATCCCACGGTTAGTTCAAGGAGGGGTTCTTTGGTTTTAGAAATTCCAGTCACTTCCAATAAGTTTGTGTATAATTCTTTTCCCATAAGAATTCCAATAAGAACTGCCAGAATTTGAAATCAACTTGAAATCAGTTTTTAGAGAGTCCAATAGTCTCGAAACCTTTAAATTATCTGTAGATGATCTTGCTCTTGAAGTTCTAGTGGATCCTTGATGGTATTTGTACTATATATTAGACTAGACGTAATCCAGACGATATTCAGTTGTCGATTTGTGGTAGCTTGTGTACTTAAAAATCCATTATTTAAGCTTTGTCTTGAGCCAGTCGTGGGCTCCCTTTTCTATTCATCCTTTTTCACACACAAGTGTTGAATTAATTGTGATAGTGCCAGGTTGCTCCAGTTTGAGCGAAGTTTTCCCTAATAAGGGAAAGTTTTCGGATAAATTGTGCGTTTTCAAGGAATTTCAAAACAGCCGATGCCATTACCGATGTTCTTATATTCAAATTTTCCTTTTTCAGATCATACGTTGGTGCGAGCAACATCGAAATTGTCCGATTTGGGAAGAGGAGAAATGGTAAATGAAAGATTATGATTTTAAAGTTTTAAAAGTTCAAAATTATTACTAAAAAGTAGTGTAATGTAGTTAAAAATGTCGATTTTTATATAATCTATATGTCGTAGCCGATGAAGGATTTCAGCCGAAGAAGTCTCAGACTTCTTCGGCTAGCCGATGAAGTCTCAAAAATGAAATCTTGAGTTATGTATTGACTCAAGTCAATACCACAAACTCAAGCTCTCTAAAAGGCGCTTAAAAGCTAAAAAAGCATTCTAGTTGCAGTTGCATTTTGCATTTTTCATTGCAAGTTGCATTTTTACCAAACTAAACAACAAAAATAAACAATAATACCAAAAAGCGAGTTTATAAACAATAATACCACCGGTTCACGAGTTCTTTGACCTAAGAGCAAACAATATAAAGCGTCATAAAGAAATTCGATAGGACACAAAAGTAAAAGCTTACCAATCTGTTGGCGAACTCCTTTCCGTTGTCGGACTAAAGAATTTTTGGGGCTCCAAACGTTCCGAATATTTCCATTAGATGATCGACAACTTCAAATTGTGTTTTCCTTTGCAATGCCCGCAAAAAGACGAACTTTGTGAAATGATCCTGGTAGACCATCAAAAACTTGAATTCTCCATCGGAAACGGATTGAAGATCGATTAAATCCGTGCCTTTGACGAATGACGAAAAGGGCCCTTTTATAGCCTTTGGTTATAGTATGATAAAATGCGCACTCTTTAGAATGCGTCTTTAGCTTTTAAGCGCCTTTTAGAGAGCTTGAGTTTGTGGTATTTACTTGAGTCAATACATAACTCAAGATTTCATTTTTGAGACTTCATCGGCTGAAATCCTTCATCGGCTACGACATATATAATAATCTATATAATAATCTATAATAATAAATCTTTTGAATTGAATTTGAATTGAATTTAGGTGGCAAAACGAACGGGATGCTGAGTTGACAAAGTGGGAGGACGAGTTCATGGCAGAAATGACTTCCGAAACTCTCTACAATCTTTTCCTAGTTTTTTTTTAGAATTTCTAGATTAAAGAGATTGTCTTTTAAATAAATATCGTCTTTTTTAGATACTTTTATAGAGCTTACGGTAATCTAGACCTCTTTTTCTAGGCTGCCAACTTCCTTGACATCAAATGTCTCTTGGATAAATGCGCTCAATCTGTTGCTGACATGATCAAGGTTTGAATTTTGCTCTGTGATAGGTATTCGATATCTGGTAAGTCCAAATCCAGATCTAGATCTAGATTAAATATCTGCGAAATTCTAGGGAAAAAGCGTCGACGAGATTCGTGAGATTTGGATGCTCGAAAACGATTTCACTCCTGAGGAAGAAGAGAAGATCAAGTGAGTCAAAAGACTCAAGAAAATACTAGTGCTTTTGTTTTTTCAACAATTTATAAGCTAATTTACTGACAGAGTAACTTAATTTACGGATTTTTTATGAATTCGGCAGATCAGAGGATTGTGGGACAGTTGGTACCGTCCCGTCTCCTTTGAGCTTAAATTTCTTGGTTTTGGTTTGACCAATTGACATATTCTTGATATCATTAGATTCGCCAAGTCTTTCCCTATCGATTGGTACAAAAACTGTTTTAATTGGACAACCCAACACCAAGAAATTTGAGTTTAAAGTTTGTTTGGCAAAAGGGGCGGGGCCAGAAAGACCTTTTATACGCGCTCCGCCCCTTTTGCCATTAGCAATTTAACAATTTAAAATTTAAAACGAAATTCTACAACCCAACACCAAGAAATTTGAGCTTAAAATTAGATTGCCAATGGAAAAAGGGGCGGGGCGACGGCCTTTTATACGCGCCGCGCCCCCATTTGCCATTGGCAAACTTTAAGCTAAAATTTCTTGTTGTTGGGTTGTCCAATTAAAACAGTTTTTGTACCAATCGATAGGGAAAGACTTGGCGAATCTAATGATATCAAAAATTTCTAAATTGGACACTTCAACACCAAGAAATTTGAGCTCAAAGTTAGATTGCCAATGGCAAAAGGGACGGGACGCCCCTTTTGGCCTTGAATCCCTGACTTCTTGAGCTTACAATCATTAGATTCACCAATTAATCGCTATTCAGCTTAATCAACATAAATGTAGCCAATCAAGTATTAAAATTATCGAAATCTGTAATACTATTCAATTTCCAGGAACGAGAATCCGTGGGAGGCGATTCTTCGTTACCAGGAGCAGCTTGAGAAAGAAAAAGAGGAACAAGCCTCTCAACCGGCAGCTTCATCATAAATTTCAAGAAAATTTTGACAAAATCTCGATCAACTCTTGAAAAAATGGGATTTTCTGTGGATTTTTTTGGAAAAATCTCTTTTTCATTTCAATTTTTCACCTTTCACTTATCGAACAAGAAAAAACTTGTAAATTTTCTCGTCAAACCGGTTTTCTTTATATAATTTCATTATCTTGTGTGTGTTTTTTTAATAAATCTACCGTAACTTTTAAAGATTTATTTTAAAAAATCAAAATTTACAAAAAATAGATCAATTCATCAAAATCATCAGATTTTTAAACAGGTTTTGGGGGTTTTAAGTTTATTTGGTACTTGTCGGTTATACATCCACACAGGCTTAACTCGGTTAAGCAAAGAACTGACAACTTGTGAGAGGTGATTATGTTCAGTGAAGTAGAGTGCTCGTTTGAAGTGATCAGTCGATCAGTCGAACGAAAATCGATAACCGCGAAGACTCGGATGGGAATGCTTAGGCTTACGAGCAGCTAGCTTACGAGCAGCTAGCTTACGAGCAGCTAGCTTACGAGCAGCTAGCTTACGAGCAGCTAGCTTACGAGCAGCTAGCTTACGAGCAGCTAGCTTACGAGCAGCTAGCTTACGAGCAGCTAGCTTACGAGCAGCTAGCTTACGAGCAGCTAGCTTACGAGCAGCTAGCTTACGAGCAGCTAGCTTACGAGCAGCTAGCTTACGAGCAGCTAGCTTACGAGCAGCTAGCTTACGAGCAGCTAGCTTACGAGCAGCTAGCTTACGAGCAGCTAGCTTACGAGCAGCTAGCTTACGAGCAGCTAGCTTACGAGCAGCTAGCTTACGAGCAGCTAGCTTACGAGCAGCTAGCTTACGAGCAGCTAGCTAGAATACGGTTCCTGTTTTGATCAAATACGGTTCCAATACGGTTCCATTACGGTTCCAATTACGTTCAATTACGAGCAGCTAGCTTACGATCAGCTAGCACTCTACTTCACTTTACATCATCACCCCGCACAAGTTGTCTGCTTCTTTCTTAACCGAGATTAGTCTCTGTGGATGTATAACCGACAAGTACCAATCTAAGCTTTACCAAGTTCTAAACGAGTCTCGCTAATACCTAAAAAGCAAAAAGTTCTGGAATCTCGAATCCCTTTTATCTCTTTGTCATCTTTCTGTGATCTTTACTCTTAAGATTTCCATCAAAGAAAACAAAGAACGGCAAAGGGAAACAAGAGCCACAAAGCAAACATTAAATTTCTCATTTGAATTTCATTAGGGAAAGACAATGAAAACTATTTTAAGCATTTTAAGGATAAGGAATTAACAAAAATTCTATAAAGCTAGAGAAAGAGAGAGATTTTTATTTGTCTGTCTTGTATTTTAAGATTTTTAGATTCCTTCTCCTTCTGCGACAATGCGCATAGTTCAACCATTTCTTAATGATCTACATTTTTAATGATCACTTGGCATCACTTTCTATAACTTCACCTAATATTTGATCTTCTGATTTTTTTAATCTCTTTGAAGTTGAAGCTTTTGAAAAATGCAACTCAATGGCATCTCCCAAAAAAAAATGAAATCCCAGCCGATAACCCTTTTTGACATCAGAGACTTTTTCTGCCACAAATATATACCGTATTTTCTCTAATAGTAGTGCTATCTAGCAGTAGTAGTATCAGCAATAGTACCTAGCAATCAAAATCCTCAAATAAGCTGCGTACAGTCGCCTAGCCAAAGCCAATGATTCAAGTTTTTCAAGTTCAATTCAAGCTAGCGTTTCGTCTTTTTTTTTAGTTCAAATAAGTTGTATTAATAACAGTGGAGATAAAATCTACACAACCACAAAAATTTCGTTGAAAAGCAGACACAATTGTTGAAAAGAGGTAGAGAGAGGGCCAAGAAAGGAAAGGATGAAAGGAAGGTCCATTCCTTGTCTTGCTTTGCCTTGCTTTGCCTTGCTTTGCCTTGCTTTGCCTTGCTTTGCCTTGCTTTGCCTTGGCCTGCTTTGCCTTGCTTTGCCTTGCTTTGCCTTGCTTGGCCTTGCTTTGCCTTGCTTTGCCTCGCCTCGTTCCCTTCATTTCCCTTCCCTCCCATTCCCTTCCCTCCCATTCCCTTCACCCTTTCCTTTCTTGGCCCTCTCTCTACCTCTTTTCAACATTTCCCCAGCCTTTTTTCTCTTTTCCATTTTGGCAGCAGGCAAGCAAAACTATGCCATCATAATTGCCAGCAAGTTCTCTGCCAGCAAGTTCTCTGCCAGCAATCTTTCAGCCAGTGAGCTTTTTCAAAAGTTTCATCATTTACAAATAGTAAAGAGTTGGCAATCGAAAACTTGCAAAAAGCGAAAGCGACGACATTCTACAGATTCCTAACCGAACTTTTTAAACTTTCAACTTTGGATTACTGTAACTACACTGTCAAGCAGGTTACCAGCTGTTATTTTATTGCATAATGTTCATCGAACCACGTAACTAACCACGATGTCTTCAAACAACAAATTGTCTAAACCATCTCTAACTTTTACTCTTTATAGAAAGATAAGAAACTTGCTAGTACCCTAATTCCACCAGACAAATTTAAAGCAAAATCTAAAGCAAAAATTCCACATATTTCTCTAGTTTCGGGTATAAAATTTGGTCCCGACACAATTTTTGTTTCGTCAAAAAGCGAGCGTCATATTTTTCGCCCGAAATTTTATGATCACGAGGATTCTGCTCAATTGTTTTCCTAAAAAAGTGCTTCGAAAATGGCCATTTTTTTCAGTGATATAGGAAAAAGTCTTCTAATATTTTAAGGAATATCAGGGTTCAACTGATAACACCTTTTTCGAAATTTATTGAAAAAAAGAAATTCGGTTTTGAGAGCATAAAACGTATGTAGATTTGGGAGAAATTCTTCGGTCGACCAGAGTTTTCAAATTTTGTTACGATTGTCGGAAAGTTGCCCAAAGTCGAGCGAATTCGGAAGGATCACTGGAAATTTTGGGTTTTAGTGAATTCACTTGGAACTGGGTTATACAAAAGTTCCAACTAGGGCCAGGCAAGTTTCTGGCAGATCGAGTTTAAGATAAGAAAAGCCAGGCCAATCAAGCCAGGAGAGTCAAGCCAGGAGAGTCAAGCCAGTCAAACCAGGCCAGTCAAACCAGGCCAGTCAAACCAGGCCAGTCAAACCAGGCCAGTCAAACCAGGCCAGTCAAACCAGGCCAGTCAAACCAGGCCAGTCAAACCAGGAGAGTCAAGCCAGGAGAGTCAAGCCAGGAGAGTCAAGCCAGGAGAGTCAAGCCAGACAAACCAGGCCAGTCAAACCAGGCCAGTCAAACCAGGCCAGTCAAGCCAGGAGAGTCAAGCCAGGAGAGTCAAGCCAGACAAACCAGGCCAGTCAAACCAGGCCAGTCAAACCAGGCCAGTCAAACCAGGCCAGTCAAGCCAGGCCAGTCAAGCCAGACAAACCAGGCCAGACAAACCAGGCCAGTCAAACCAGGCCAGTCAAACCAGGCCAGTCAAACCAGGCCAGTCAAACCAGGCCAGTCAAACCAGGCCAGTCAAACCAGGCCAGTAAAGCCAGGCCAGTCAAGCCAGACAAACCAGGCCAGACAAACCAGTCAAGCCATACCTAGCTTCTGACCTGGTCTCTACCTGACAAAAAATACTTTTAGAACAACAACGTACAATACTTTGTGCTCAAAAATGTAAATACACTTCTTCTGGCACACTCAACTATCTATTTCCAATACGACACCAATGTATTTTTTAGTTTCGTTTTGCAGAATGGCCCACAACTATAGCGCCGCACTTCAAAGGGCCTAGATTGGCTGAAACTGGGCCAATCGTTCTGATTTTTTGGAGATAAATCTTAAGTATATCTCCTAAAACAGTTCCAATTATCTAATTGATTCAAGCTTTCAACTCTTTTATAGAGCCTTTCAAAGCTCATAAATCGTTCAAGTGAAAACAGATGATATTTGGTGAGTTTTTATGAAATTTCTCAAGAATTTTTGCACTTAAACTGCGTAGAATATGTGAGATTTTGTTCATTAACATTAATAAATCCAATCTCAACGAGACTTTGACAAGATCGCTCCCAAAAATCCCATCAAAATCCCATCCCCAGCAGCGTACCGAGCGAAATTCGGCCCTCAACTTTGGCAGGCCATATAGAAAAGTTGAAAGGTTAAATCGATTAGATAATTGTCACCGTTTCAGGAGAAATACTTAAGATTTACCTCCAAAAAAATCAGAACGATTGACTCAATTTTGGTCAATCTAGGCCCTCTGAAATGCGGCGCTATAATCGTTTGGCTGACCGTCTCGTTTCCTTGTCTTGAAATCACAAAGAAAAAACTATTGGGTTGGGGAGAATGAGTCGGCGCCAAACTTTAAAGGGACTTTTTGCACACATAAAGCCTTCTTTAAACATACGTTTGGTTTCATCAAAAGGATCCACTATTTCTCTACAAAATGACTTTTGAGAGATTCCACAAAGCTTTTCTTTCGTGGAGTTTATGAACTTCCAAACGCAGCTGGTTAAAATGGCAAAGAGTCCGACTCATCATTTGAACAGTTTCTTTCACATAAACCTTCTTTGGTGTTTATATAAAAAAGATAGAGCACATTCAATTACTTAAGTTGCCAAATTTGCAGGAAGATCCCACCAATGGTTTTTTCTAGATCACAGTTTGTAGTTTTTGTGAAAAAATGGCTTTTTCTTGAGCGGAGGCGCTGTTTGAATTTTCTTTTAAATGTGATTTTGTAGAGAATTAGTTAACCATTCTACTCATATCAAACGCATATTATTTGACGAAGTCGAATAGAAGTTTTAGACATTTTTTTGATTTTCGGCGCCGACTCATTCTCCCCAACCCAATAGTTTTAACAAAACTCACGAGAAAGTCGATCCATCAGAAGGAAAAGTGAGTTCTTGTTGTTCTTGCAGGTCGAGATCATTTCGGTGTACTTGCGCCTGGGTTGATAAAGTTGATGGGCCAGCCATCATCTGATTGTAGCCCATTATGGGGATTGGCTGAAAATTTGAG